ACTACTACTACTACTACTACTACTACTACTACTACTTACTACCTACTACCTACTACCTACTACCTACTACCTACTACCTACTACCTACTACCTACTACCTACTACCTACTACCTACTACCTACTACCTACTACTACTACTACTACTACTACTACTACTACTACTACTACTACTACTACTACTACTACTACTATTACTATTGCGGGCCTCAGTGGAGTTCCCTATGGGGTCACGAAGCGCTGTACTTGGTCGGTGAAAATGCCAAATTCGGCGTGGGGGGCGCATGCGGGCGGTCCCACTGGGGTTTTCGGTGGAGCTCACTATGGATCCACGAAACGCCGTAATGGGTGTGTGAAAATGCCAAATTGCGTGTGGGGGACGCATGCGGGCGGTCCCACTGGGAGCTTCGGTGGAACTCCCTATGGGGCCACGAAACGTTGTGCCGGGTGGGTGACAATGCCAAGTTGGGCGTGGGGGACGCATGCGGGCGGTCCCACTGAGGGTTTCGGTGGGGCTCCCTGTTGGGCCACGAAACGCTGTACCGGGTGGGTGAAAAGGCCAAATTGGTTGTGGGGGGACGCATGTGGGCGGTACCACTGGGGGTTTCGGTGGAGCTCCTTATGGGGCCACGAGGCGCTGTACTCGGTGGGTGAAAAACCCAAATTGGATGTGGGGGGACGCATGTGGGCGGTACCACTGGGGGTTTCGGTGGAACTCCCTGTGTGGCCGCGAAACGGTGTAATGGGTGGGTGAAAATGCCAAAATGCGTGCGGGGGACGCATGCGGACGGTAGCACTGGGACCTTCGGTGGAGCTCCCTCTGGGGCCACGAAACGCATGGAAGAAGGAGGAGGGGGGGAGGAGGAGAAGGAGGAGGAGGAAGAGGAAGAGGAGGAGGAAGAGCAAGAGGAGGAGGAGGGGGAGGAGGAGGAGGAGGAATTGAACGCGGGACGACGTCTCTTCAAAACGAAGACCCAACACCACAGGATGGTTGGGGGGGAAGTGGGGGAGAGGCAAAAAAAAAAAAGCCTGGCGAAGCACCCAACCATATGCAGTTGCGAGCACCGCAATTGTGATCATTTTTCTTCGGTGGCGCTCCCTTTGGGGCCACGAACCGCAGGAGGGGTGCGCCGAACTGTGGCGGGGCACACAACGCAAAGGAATGCGATAGGTCGAATTACGAGAGACTGAACGCGGGTGAGTCAGAACGCGAGTGGGTCTGAATGTGAATGAGGCTGCGTGCGAGTGAATATATTTGCGTGGATGCGATCATGGCTACGCCTGGTGTAAAGGTATATGAATGTGAATGGTCCAGTAGCCTGCCCGAACACTCGCGACATCGAGCGTGGCCGCCGCAGGCAGCTTCCGCGGGAACCCTGACGGCAGCGCCGGCGCGCCGCGACGCCCATGTCGGCACGCCCCCCACGAGGATCGCACCCGCTTCCACCCCTTCTTTCCCCCCCTCTTTGCCTGCGCGCTCCAAAAATCCCAGGCTGCGGGCGCAGCGCAGCGCGGAGTCCCCGCGACGCGCGCAGGTCGCCCTCCTGGACGGGCCCCAGCGACGCGCGCGGGCCGTCCGCTGCGCGGAGCAAAGAGAGCTAGATAACTGGCTGACAGCGGGCAAGGCTCTGGTCGCTAGGCAGAGCGACGACGGGCGAGCGGGGCGCTGGGCAGGACGCAGCACGGAGATCCCACGACGCGCGCCGGCGCCCCGAGAGGGCCCCAGCGACGCGCGCGGGTCGTCCGCGGCGCGAAGCCAGACAAGTAGTTGGACAGTCAAGAGAAGGCGCGGCTCGCGCGGGGCGCCCCCCAGGTCAGGCCTCGAGGATAAACTCGGCGAAGCCGAGCTCCCTGGCGAGGGCCGTCGCCCCCTTCCGCGCCGCTTCGCGCGCGCCGCAAGATGCTCCAGCTACTTTCGCAAGCCCTCCGGCGGCCCTGCCAGGAAGAAATCGACGCGCGGCGCCCGCATGAGCAGGAGGCCCTCGGGGCGCGTGGCGCAGAAGAGCAGCACATAAAGCTCCAGCCACCAGTCGTCGTCTTCCTTCTTGCCGTTCCCGACCGCGTGGCGGCCGCAATCCAGGCCCACGCCTGGGCGACGCCGGCCGGGGGGGCAGCGCGCCGGACAGCCGACGGCCCAAGGCGAGAGTCCACAGGATCGAGGTCTGGCTGCGGACTGCTCGCGCCCAGCAGGTCCGGCCGTAAACTGCCCCAGAGCGCTGTTCCCTCGCCCCTTCGCCTTCGCGCACGGCGCGCACCTGGCACGCCACCGCGGCGATGGCCCTGCCGCGCGAGAACGGGAAGCCCGTTCGGGCGACCTTGCAGGCGCGGAGGGTGAACGGCTCCGACGCACGAGGCTCGATGAACACCAGCGGGCCCGTGAGGCCCCCCGTGAGGCTGTCGTCGCGGCGCTCGAGGTCGCTCACGAAGGGCGCGCACGCGTACTTTTCCATGTGCAACCAGAACCCCAGCGGCAAGTGCTTCAGATAGATTGTCTGATCCACGTCTCTCTCGGCCTTGTCTACGTCGTCACGACCTCGAGGGCCCGCGGCGATGCGCACGATCTGCCCTTCGGCATCCTTGGCGAGGCCGCTCTTGAGGTCCAGCCCCTCCAGGTAGCACTGGGACCTTCGGCGGGGCCCCCGATGGGGCCACGAAACGCTGCACTGGGCGGGGGGGGCGCACGCGGACGGCAGCACTGGGGCCTTCGGTGTATGGGGCCACAAAACGCTGCACTGGGTGGGGGGGCGCATGCGAACGGTAGCACTGGGACCTTCGGTGGGGCCACCTATGGGGCCACGAAAGGCTGCACTGGGCGGGGGGGGGCGCATGCGGACGGTAGCACTGGGACCTTCGGTGGGGCCCCCTACGGGGCCACGGAACGCCGTACTGGGCGGGGGGGCGCATGCGGACGGTAGCACTGGGACCTTCGGTGGAGCTCCCTATGGGGGCGCGAAGCGCTGTACTGGGTGTGGGGGGCGCATGCGGACGGTAACACTGGGACCTTCGGCGGGGCCCCCATATGGGGCCACGAAAAGCTGCACTGGGCGGGGGGGCGCATGCGGACGGTAGCACTGGGACCTGCGGCGGGGCCCCCTATGGGGCCACGAAACGCTGCACTGGGGGGGGGGGGGGGGGGGGGGGGGGGTGCATGTGGACCCTTCGGTGGAGCGCCCCATGAGGCCACGAAACGCTGCACTGAGTGGGGGGGGCGCATGTGGAACGGTGGCACTGGAGCCTTCGGTGGAGCTCCCCACGGGGCCACTAAACGCTGCACTGGGTGGGGGGGGGCGCATGTGGACGGCGGCACTGGGGCCTTCGGTGGAGCCCCCTATGTGGCCACGAAGCGCTGTACTGAGTAGGGGGGCGCATGTGGACGGTGGCACTGGGGCCTTCGGTGGAGCTCCATATGGGGCCGCGAAACGCTGTACTGAGTGGGGGTGGCGCATGTGGGCAGTGGTACTGGGGCCTTCGGTGGGGCCCCCTATGGGGCCACGAAGCGCTGCGCTGGGTCGGGGGGGCGCATGCGGACCGTAGCACTGGGAACTTCGGGGGCGCTCCCTCTGGGGCCACGAAACGCTCTTGCGGAATGGGGGGGCGCATGTGGACGGTGGCACTGGGGCCTTCGGTGGAGCTCCCTATGGGGCCACGAAACGCTGCACTGAGCGGGGGGGCGCACGCGGACGGTGGCACCGGGGCTTTCGGTGGAGCTCCCTCTGGGGCCACGAAGCGCTGTACTGAGTGGGGGGGGGCGCACGTGGACGGTGGCGCTGCGGCCTTCGGTGGAGCTCCCTATGAGGCTACGAAACGCCGCACTGGGCGGGTGAAACGCAAGGAGGGGGGGGGGGAGGAAGGGGGGGAGGGAGGAAGAGGAGGAGGAGGAACGCGGGGACCGTCTCTTCAAAACGAAGATCCAACAGCACATGATGGTTGGGAAAACTAAATCCCAAATGGTCCAAAATAGTCACACGAACAAATCCGCCGACTGTTGTTTGACTAGTTTGAAACGTGTTTCCTGCAGAGGGACGGGCCCGACTTAACATCACTGGAAACTGATTAACTTTGCGCCCAAGAGGCTGCGGATGGGTAGCGCAAGGGCAGCGCCTCAGGCCCCGGTTAAACCGGCTCTCTCCACAGTTTCCCTCAACACGCCCTCGAGGTCGCCAGGTCCACTCTGGAACCAGACCTCCGAAGGAAACACAATCTAAAACAGCTTCTACAATGGAAGAAGGGTAGCTAGGCCACCGAGGCCCTTCTCCCCTCAAAAATTCATCTTCCTATACTCTACTACACCGGCAGGTATCCTCCTCGCCCACTCATTTCTCATCCGCCTGGGCTCAAGCCTCTATCTCTCTACGAGTGCACCAAGCCGACCATCTCCGTATATGTTTCCAGCGTCACCCTGGTCATCGGCCTGGTCATCATATCGCTCGGATTCTCGCGAGTGCAAACCTTGCCGAGACTCAATCGCCCTTGTTCGCGCCACTGCTGCAGCACCAGGAAGCACATCTCCACGCGTTTCATCCTTCCTGGCCCGCGCTTCCTCCCGATCTGTAGCGCACTGCTGCTGTCGCTCATCACGAGCGGCATCGCCTTCTCCTTCTCCTCCTCGAGTAGTGATGCCAGTCCGAGAGCCCCCGCTGCTCCCGATCCCAGCGCGTATAGCTCGCTCTCCGCCGAGCTCAATGCCACGCAGCCCTGGCGTCTCGACCACGACAGGATGGTGCATCCGCGGTAACTGCAGGATGCCGCCGCCACCCGTCGAGATCCTCCAGTCTGCGTCCACCCAGCACTCCACTCCAATACCTCCTCTGTTCGGAACCAAATACATCTCGTAGTCTCGCGTGCATGCAAGGTACTGCGCCATCTTCATCAGCCCCCCCCCCGTCCTTCTCCGTTGGTCCTGACATGCCCCCGCTTAACAATCCAACTCCATGTCGAACGTCAGGACGGTGGCCCACCAACTGCAATAGCTTCCCCACACAGGTCCTCTAGCGACTATGGCCCACGGCGTCTAACTTCACCTCGTCGCTCTTCATGTGTACCTCGTTCTTGGCCTCGGGCAAGACTGACGGCTTCGCCGTCCCCGGGCCCAGCTCTGTCAGGATGTCGTCGATCAAGCTCGTCTTGCCGCTGATCGTGCAGCCGCCCTCGACCTTCTCCACCTGCATGCTCAGGAACGTCGCGTGGCCTCCGGTCCTGGTGAGCTTGACCACGTCCGATAACTTCAATCTCTCTCCCATCACCTCTAACAACTTGTCGACGTCGTCGCTCGGCCCAGCGATTAGGAAGTCGTCGGCGCGTCTCCCTGCCATCATCCTGCTGCTCAGCATCATAAAGAGACACCCGTCGCAGTGACCTCTGACCCTCTCAAGCTCCTCCATGGCGTTCGCACTGTGATTCCCCCAAGCCTTCGGAACTCCTCCGAGTCCCGGGAATGCGCACAGCGCCTCTCAAACACGTCCTTCCGGTACTTCTGCTTCTGGTGGTGGCTCCAGGAAGATACGGTCCTCGGTGGGCGGCGCCTGGTAGAAAGCCCCACTGCAGTCGCCAAACGCCACCACGCGGTAGTGCAACTCCGCAGCATTACCTTCGCCCTTGCCGCGCATCCTTGCCGCGCATCCTTATCGCGCGCGTTGGCTGTAGTACGATGGCGGTTGCTCGCGAAGCTCTGCATTACCTTCAGGTGCGGAAGTGAGGGGGTCGTGGCCGCGAAGTTCTCGTGCCCGTACACCTGCTGATCGAAGCCCCTCGTGGTCCACCGACTCCTCTCGCTGCCGTCCGCCTGGTAGATGTCGACCCACTTCGCCGTCAGGATCTTGGACGTCGTGCCCTGGATCGGGATCACCTTTACGATAGTATTGCCGCCCCCTGCGATCTTCTCCAAGCACTCCTTCCATGCCTCCGCGAAGTCGCCCCGCAGCGCGCGCGTCTCCTCGCCCTCCACCTGCGGCTCCTCACACATCCCCCTGACCGCACTGATCATCTGGATGGTAGTGACCCTGGACTTCTTGCCTTCGCTTCCTTCTCCGCCCTCGGGTTCTCGCTTGGGGCCTCTCTCTACCAGCGGAATGCCCACTGGCCGCGGTGGCGGCGCCCTCGGCGCTGACGGTCCTGCCGCCTCGTCCCTGGGCCTCTTCGCCTCCAGTCGCCTCTTGTCCATGTCCACGTCGTCGTACGGTGCTGCCGCCGCTGCTGCTGCTGGCTGTGGCGGCGCTGGTTGTTGCCACTCTTCTGTCGTTGCCGCTCCTGCTGCGGTGCCGCTGCCGCGTTCGGGCCCAGGTACTTCGGTAACGGCCCGAGTAGAATCGGTTCCTGCAGCGACCTCTGCGTCGGTGCCCACCCCCCCTCGCGGTTGGCGTCAGTCCCCAGGGTCTCCACCTCATCTTGTCGAACAGCTCCTTGTCCCAGCGTCGGCTCTCCACCTTCCTCTTCGCCGCCCTGGACCTGCGCGCCCCCGTCGGCGTTCCGATCAGGCGCTCGCCCGCCCTCGCGCCGCGCCCCAGCCAGATGCCCTCCAGCCACGACAACGCCAGCCTGTTGACCTGGGCTCCTGGCCTCCTGCAGATCACTGCCTCGCCGACTGCGACGATGGGGTTCTGGTACTTGAGCATGCGGGTCTTCTCGCAGGGCGCGAGGTTGGTGTCCTCCCTGGCTACGCATCCGTTGTAGAGCCACGCTGCACGCCTCGGCAACCACGCGAGGAACGGAGAGTCGGGCTTGAGGTCGTGCTTCAGCTTCTTGTTGACCTGCAGCATCAACGTCCCCACTTGCTTCCTCACCGTCTGGATGGCTCTCTCGGCCCTGCCGTTCGCCTGCCCGTTGTACCTCTCCGACTGCCTCATGAGGAACGTCTGAAAGATGCCGTCGTTGATCGCCCCGCCCCCGACTGCCATGATGATGGAGGACTCGGCTGTTCCTCCTTCTTGTAGTTCCACTCGTGAGTGTCCAAAGTTCGGCCAGCCACGAAACCAACGAGGCCACTGTGTAGACGTCGTCTCGACCTTTCTGTATGATGGTCGGAGCGTCGCTGCCCACTACGAACCGGAAGTTGACGGGATCCCCCTCGATGCCCGCCTGGCCGTAGTCGAAGCTCAGCAGCGGGATCAGCTCGTCGCGTCTGTCCTTCTCCTTGTGGGCCATGTCGTTGGCCTTCGCTTGAATGCAGATCTCGAACCATGATTCAGCTGGGTAGTGCGTCAACTCGTGCCTCTCGATCTCCTCCGCACTCGGTTCTCGAGGTCCAAGCAGTCCACTGGCTGTCGTCTCGGGTTCCACCGCCTCGTGATCGTCGGGAACTGCCACTGTTCCATCTGCGGGTGCATCCGCTAGTACATATGTAGCTCCTCGAGGCACGACCTGCGGTTGCTGCCGCTCCCCCGGTAGTAGCAATCGTGGTCATCCTGCCAATGCTCGCTGAAGTGAGTCTTCGTCTTCGTCCGCTTCACCAGGTCGCGCTGCTGCGACTGATGCCCCGATAGGCGCCAGCAGCGCCATCCCCCCGTGGACCTCCTCCATGTCATCGTACATCTTGGTCCAGCACTCCAGTGCGCAGTGGTTGTTGATCTTCTTAAGCATGGCCAATCCCGCCGTCTCGTGCCTCAGCAGCCCCCCCTCGCCGTCGTACCGAGCCACGCGGTTCTCTATCCTGTTGCAGAATTTGCCCACGCTCCTAATGGGCTGCTTCACGCCGGCGACCTGGAACTCCATGGCGATGCGTCTGTCACCTGCTATGTAGAGCGTCACCGTATTCGATCCGTTGTGCCTCAGTGACGTGCCGTCTGCGACTGCCAGGTTGGGGTTGCGTCCTGGTTTGAGCTCTACGTTCGGGAAGTCCCTGATGCCGCACACGTGTTCTTCTGCGCAGTTGTCCGTCAGCACCCAGACATACGCCACATGCCCCCCCCCCCCCATCATGCCGCATATCTTCCTCCCCTGCACTTTTGGCTTTCAGTCCTTCGTAACTGCGAATATGAAACCACCTCCCCACTCTGTCGCGCGCTCGTCTATCGCGGTAATCGCCCGAACCCCTCGTCGATGGTGCTGCACTCCCTGCTGGTGGCGCGCTGATGCTGCTCCAGCCGCCGTGCATTGTGATCTCGTTCACTCCTTCGTGCTGCCCTTTCTTGGTCTTCTGCTTACCCTTGTCGTAGTTGCGGTTCTCCTGCCGGCACCAGCAATCCCCTGCATAGTGCCCTCTCTGGCCACATGCGCAGCATAGCCTCCCCCAGGTACTCCGGACAGATTCCAAGCTCGCTGTCGTGTTGCCGCCGCCCTCGCAGTGGGATCCGCGCCCTTGCCCTTCTGGCCTCTGCTCCTGCTCTTGCCTTTGTTGTCTCCACCGTTGCCTTTGCCGTCTTTGCCCTTGCCTTTGGGATGCTGTCTCGCCAGCGCGTCCACCTCCATGACTCCTGAGGCCCGGTGCCCTTTTACTGCCTACGGTTCCAGTTCCTGCTGGGCCCGGCCACTTCTGCTAGTACCCGTCCTCGTACACCGCCGCCGCTTGCAAGTATTGGATCGCGGTGCCGATCAGTTCGCCGTAGCTTCTCTCGCTCTGCATCTGCAGTACCGTCCTGAGGTAGATGCTCCTCTTGACTCCTGCATTCCACACATCTCCCGAAGCCGTCTCGCAGCGTCTGACGTCGCGCTCCCAGTCCGAGTGGCACTGCTCGAACACCGCCAAGTCCGAAGGGAAATCCTTCACATTCGGAATCGCCGTCATGATGCTCTGCGCCCTCATTGCCGTCGCAGGCTCGCAGCGTTTGATCAACGCTCGCCACGCCCGCGCCCCGCTCTGATCTTCCACGCTCCTGATCAGCATGTGCGCGCTGCCCTTCACTGTCATGACCAGCGCGAAGAACATCTTCTTCGTCGCCGTAACTCCTTCAGCTCCCAAACAATGCAAAGTTTCCGCCATGTTGATGTCTGGATGTCATCGCTCCTCGGCCGCCTCTTGGAGATTCAGCGCTTGCGCCGCTTGACCTCCCAGGTACGCTCTCATCACGAAGCCCCATTCCGTCCACGTCTCCTCGTGGCCGTCGAACGTTGGCGGCTTCAACCCGAAGACCTGCCACTCAGCACCAGGCTCCGTCATGGTCACGTAGACCTCTTTCTGCAAGTCTGTGGTCACGTAGTCGTCCTGCTCGTCTGTGGCCACGTAGACCTCGTCCTGCTCGTCTGTAGTCACGTAGACCTCGTCTTTCAGCTCTGTGGTCACGTAGTCATCGTCCTTCTTGTCTCTGGTCACGTAGACCTCGTCTTTCAGCTCTGTGGTGACGTAGACCTCGTCCTTCTGCTCTGTGGTCACGTAGACCTCGTCCTTCTGCTCTGTGGTCACGTAAACCTCGTCTTGAACTCCTCTGGCGGTCACGTAGACCTCGTCTTGCACTCCTGTGGCCACGTGGACCTCGTTCAGCGCTCCTGTGCTCCTGTGGCCAGGTAGACCTCGTTCAGCGCTCCTGTGGTCACGTAGACCTTGTCCAGCTGCTTGGTCACGTAGACCTCGTCGAGCTGCTTGGTCGCGTAGACCCTGTCCAGCTGGTATGTCGGCTGGTTGCCGTGGATCGCTCGCCCTGCGGCCGCGGCCGCGAGAGCTATGGCCAGCGCCCCTAACCGCGGGAGGGGGGGGCGCCCAGCGGGAGCTGGCCATGGCCAGCTCCGCTACCATGATAACCCTTTGTGCCAAAGAGGCTGCGGAAGGGTAGCGCCAGTGTAGCGTCTCAGGCTCTGGTTAAACCTGCTCTTTCCACGGCTTCCCTCAACAGCAACGAACCCCCTGCCAAGGAGGAGGAGGAGGAGGAGGAGGACGAGGAGGAGGAGGAGGAGGAGCAGGCGCCGACGAGGCGCCGACCAGGCACCAGCAGCAGTTCTGCCAGCAGCACCAGGCAGGCGGGCGCCTCGCATGAAATTCAGATCCGCACCCCTGCAGTCAGACTTGATTGGACAGGAGGCGCGAGAGGACACGAGACCCTTCCAAGGTCCACATTGCCATGATGATGTAGGAGGCATGGGCCGCGAGATACAGGACACAAGGGTACTCTTGATTTGGGAGGGTCGACCTACTAATCTGGGCCGACTGTGCTGGAATCCTCTTGGGAAGATGCTCACACGTCCTCTCGCGTGCAAGGTATAGCCTACCAATGGCTTGCTCCCCGGAAGAGCCCAAGAAATATCAAACCCGCCAAACAATAGAGGGAAAATAATCCCAGCCGCGACGACGACGACGACGACGACGACGACGACGACGACGACGGCAACGACGACGACGGCAACGACGACGACGACGACGACGACGACGACGACGACGACGACGGCGAGGAGCAGGAGGAGGACGAGGCGGAGGAGGAGCAGGAGGAAAAGGAGGAGGAGGAGGAGCAGGAGGAGGAGGAGAGGGGGGCAGGAGGGGAAGGATGAGGAGAAGGAGCACGATCAGGAGGGGCGAACTGATTGCCCGCCGGGAGAAACAGGGGAGAACAATAACTAAAGACCTCCTGAGGTTACGTTTGCGTCGATGAGGGGGTCACCAGCAGGTCATGTGGACTCTCCGCCACGACTCCGCGTCTCCTCTTCCCCCCAAAGTCCTCCCCTCACTCCACCTCCCCTCCCTATCCCTCCTCGCCTCCTCCTCATGCTGCGCTCCCTTGCCCTCCTCTCCCCGCCCCTCCTCGCCCTCCCCGCTCCCCCCTCCTCCCCCTTAGCCCCTCGTCGGCTGGCCTCTGCGGGTCCTGACTCCGGCCTCCAGCGGCCCTCCGCGACGACCCGGGGCATCCCAGGAATGCCCCCGAGGCGCAGCTGCCGAGAGGCACCCCGAGGCCGGAAAAGCGCCGAGGGCCAGCGAGAACGACCGAGATCCTCGGCCAGAAACCCGCCCACCCCTCTCTTGTCCCCCTCTCCCCCTCCCGCTCGATGGATGCACCCCGCCCGCGGAGCACCGCGCTGGCTGCCTCGACGAGGAGCTCGACGAGATGAGACGAGGAAGCCTCCCGCACGATCCATCCGAGGAAGCCCCTCGCCTCTTGGGGGCCCGCTTGGGCGGTCTTGGAGCACTCTTGGCCCGTCTGGGGGCGCTCTGAGAGGGCTCTTGGGCCGTGTTCGGGCGATGCGAGGGGCCTCCTGGGCCGTCTTGGAGCATCGGGAGCCCGTGCAAGCGCAAACTCCCAAATCTGTCAAAAACCAGGAAGGGAGTCAATGCTTCGGGCCTCTCGGGGCCTTCTTGGGGGGCCTCTTGGAGCCCACCGCCACCGACCACCCCCAGCTCCCGGACCTCTGGCCCCCGACCTCCCCCAGCCCCCTGGAACTCCACTCTGCCTTGCCCCACCCTCCCCTTCCCGCTTGATCGATCCGAAGAAGCCACCAGACATGTGATGTCCTGATTTCTTCGATACGGGGTCCCCTGAAGTCCCGACCCTTTCCCAAGGGCCGGTTTTTCATCCCGAGCGGTTCACTGACTGCCCAGGGGGAGGGGGGAAGGTTTCTTAGAAGGAGGCTGCTTCTCAGAAGGCGCCGGTCCAGCAGCTACAGACAAGGCCCGCGCCTCCTGAGAAGCAGGGCTGCTTCCAAGAAGATTTCCCCATCCCCCTATACCCCCTTCTGCGCGTTCTGCGCGTGGCCTGCTCCTGTCGGGGAGCCGTAAGCGACTCGGGTTTGGGGGACTCGGGTTGTCCTTTGGCGTCGCGCAGAGAGGGGGGTAGTGGGAGTGGAGAAAGCTTCTTAGAAGCACTCCTGCTTGTTAGAAGGCGCGGGCCTTATCTACAGATGTAGGGCCGGCGCCTCCTAAGAAGCCCCCTTCCTTCTAAGAAGCCTTCCGCCCTCCCACTACACCCTTGCGCGCGCCGGCAAGTCCTGACGGGACCGTCCAGGAGATGACGAGACCCAGTCTGAAATTTGACGCGCGCTCACGCTGCAGACGCCCCACGAAGACTGGGCCGTCACAAACCCCGGGAAGGGCCCGTCAAAAAGAGCGCTGGCAAGCACCCGAGCTCCGGCGAGCTCGCGTCTTGCGCTGCCCCGACTCCTGTTGGCGGCGCGCACACGGGGGTAGGGGGAGGGGGGCAGGCTTCTTAGAAGGGGGCTGTTTCTTCAAAGGCGCCGGCCATGCATCTACAGAGAAGGCCCGCGCCTCCTGAGAACCAGGGGTGCTCATGAGAAGCCTCCCCCCCTCCCCCTAACCCCCCTCGGCGCGTGGCCGACTCCACCGAGACGCGGTCCCCGGATGTCCCAGCCCTTTCCGGGGCCGGTTTTTCCTCCTGGGTCGCTCTCTGACGGTCCTGGGGCCCGCCGATAGCCCCCCGGGTCCGAAAACTCAAGGAGGGGATCGACTGCAGTACGGACGTACCCCGAACTCGATTTGCTCGTCGACAAACCGACGAAAGCTACGTAGAAGATCCCGCAGGCATGCGCAACATTCCATGTATGTTCCGTGAGTTCGAGGAGCAAATCAATTCTGAGGTACATCAATTCTCTAGTCGATCCCCTACTCCAAAAATGGCCAAAAACCTTCCGTCGTGATTTTGTACGACGCGATCATGTCTGGGAGGAAGCCTTCGGTGGCAACTCATGGGAGCCTCCCGTACCAGTTTGTCGACTCTTGCGAGATCGACGCTAATCGACGTCAGTCGACGCTAATCGACGCTCACTGGACAGCCAACCGACGCTGACCGACGATAAAAATCGGCGCTATCTCATCGACACCCAGACGCTTAACGACGCCAATCGACGCTGAACACGTAATCACGAGGGTACACAAGGCTCCCACGATTTGCTCGGCGGCGACGATAGGGGCGAGTAGCCCAGGGGCGGGCATTACACGTATTCGCCCGGGAGCCTTTTCGAAGACATAGATCATCGGCACCCCTTGGATGCACGTATTGCTCCCCCCTGGGCTATTCGCCCCTGTCCTCGCCTCCGATTTGCTACCTCCGAACCCCTCGCCACCGACTTCCCGCCCGGCCCCCCGCGGAGCGCCGCGCCGGCCGGGCTGCCGGCCGCCGCGCCAGGCATGCTGAGCAGCAGGGGCTGCGTGTCTGCGGGCCCCGCGCCAGGGCCGGCCAGTCGCGCAATCTGCTTGACCTGCCCGGCTGGGGCGGGATCTCAGACGGGACTAGGACAGAGGACAAAGGAGGAGGTGGTGGAGGAGGAGGAGGGAGGAAGGAGGAGGAGGAGGAGGAAGAGGAGGAGGAAGGAGGGGGAGGAGGAGGAGGAGGGGAGGAAGAGAGAAGAGGAGGAGAAGAGGAGGGAGGAGAGGGAGGAGGAGGAGGAGGACGAGGAGGAGAGGAGGAGAGGAGGAGGAGGGAGGAGGAGGGAGGAGGAGGAGGAAAAGGAGAAGGAGGAGGAGGAGAAGGAAGAGAAGGGAGGAGGAGAAAGAGGAGGGAGGAGGAGAAGGAGGAGGAGGAGGGAGAAGGAGGAGGAGGGGGAAGGAGGAAGGAGGAGAAGAAGCAGGAGGAGGAGGAGGAGGAGGAGGAGGGAGAAGGAGGGAGGAGGAGAAGCAGGAGGAGGAGGAGGAGGGGCTTGACGGGGCCAGGACGAGGATAGATCCATTCCAGAGCGTTGCGGAACGCTCTCAATGCGTTTCTCAACCCTCTGAGAGGGCCGCGGCGCCCGATACATCCTCCAGAACTGCCGGATCCCAGAGATTTTCGATGTATCCTCGCCCGATGTTATCCTCGTCCTAACTTCGTCTTAGGGTGGGAGCTCACCCCCAAACCTTCGGAGGCAACTCCTGGGAGGTCTTCGTCGGAAGGATTGGGGAAGCTGAAGCCCCATGGAGGGGCTGCTGCGCCGGATGGAGCCGCGGATTAGGCGGGATTGCGTAGGCCGGATGAAGCGGTAGTAAGCCAGATTAAACGGGATTAAGCCCGATTAAGCTGGACTTCGGACCAGGGCAAAGTCAGAATGTGAAGCCAGGAGGAGGATAAAATCGGGTGAGGGTAAATCGTGAATCTCTGAGATCCAGCGGCTCCGGAGGATGCATCGGGTGCCATGGTCTTTTCAGAGCGTTCCGCAACACTCTGAGAGCGTTCCGCAACGCTCTGGAATGGATCTATCCTCGTCCTGGCCCCGTCCGACACCCCCCAGAAATGCTCGCGTCCTGAACACATCAAGGCGGGAGGCTCTTCGCCATTTTCGGCCTCGTGGGGCCCTCACCACGCCGCGGGGTCGTCACGAAGCGACTCGGGATGCAGAAGCGGCCCCTGGGAAAGGGCCGGGACTTCTGGAGGCCCCGCCTTGAAAGACAGGACCTCGCGCGTCTGAGGACTCACCCGTCCCCCCGTCTGTCGGCCCGGTCTGTGCTTTCATGTCGTCCTTAAAACAGGGCTAGGATCGGGATAAATCGCTCCAGAGCGTTCCGGAGCGCTCTCAGAGCGTTCCGGAGCGCTCTCAGAGCGTTCCGGAACGCTCTGGAGCGGCCGCGGCGCCCAATACATCCCCCAAACCCACCGATTCTCAGAGATTTCGAGTTATCCCGATCCGATTTTGTCCCGATCTTCGCGTCGTTTTAGACTCACCCGTCCCCCCGTCTGTCGGCCCGGTCTGTGCTCTCATGTCGCCCTCCCTCCCGCCTCCCGCTCCCGTGCTCGCTCCTCGTCTCCTCGCTCTCCCCTGCCCGTGCCTGTCCCCCTGCCCCGGCCCGCTGTGTTGTCGGGCCGCCCCCCCCCCGGTCCGAAGGAGAGCTGCGGCGGCCCACTTGATGCCGCCTAGAGGGGGGCCGAGCATACAGTCGGGGCGTTGACCTAAGGAACCGTAAATAAGGAACGAGGCCCCTTTTTTCCAGAAGTTGAACTCCGATTTGCTATCGAGAACATCGGAAAACCTGAGGCAAGCTGTGAAACACTTAAGGAACGCGGAGCCCCTCCCCAACGAAAAGGGTTCCTTCTTCAGGGCCCCGACTGTACGAGTTCGGAGGATCGCACCGCATCGTCGATGCCTCAACGATGCATCGGCGCTGCATCGGCGCTGTCGGCGATGCACAGGCGCCGTCGGCTCGGAGAACATCGGGCCACATATCGAGCCGCATCGACGACGAATCGGCGATGCGGCGCGATCCTGTGACCCCATCAACTCTTGCCCCATCCAGAAGGCCTGGACCCCCGTCCTCCTCCATCCTCCACCCCCAGACCACGCAGCGTCCTGATAAAAAAAGACGGATGCTTTCCTCGAAGTGCAGACCTGGGGGCCATCACCAAGTCCTGGGACAGTCACAAGAGAGCGACTCGGGAGGAGAAACCTACCCTCGGGAAAGGGTCTGGATTTCTGGGAACCGCGAAAGACTCAGGTCATCACACGTAAGATGGGCCCTCCCTCGTCCTCCACTGTCCTTCGTCATCCTTCTCCATCCCCCATCCTCACCTTTCATCCTCCAGTTTGCACCAGTTACAAGATTGGAGGGCGGCTCGTTTTCAATCGACTCCGTGACGCGCACGTTCGCCTTAAAGTATGCAACAACTCTCAGGATGGAGTGCGCTTCGTCACCAGAATTGAGTTCTCGCCTTCGCGCAGCACACATGCGTCTGAAAGTTCATAATACTTGTGTTCTGAAGGCGGCTCTCGCTTGAGCATGCCCTAACATGTAGCGGTTACAAGGATGGGGGGCGCTTCCTGATTATGTTGTGGCTGACGCATGACAAGACGTGTACACATGTGCAGCAGTTGCACGGATGGGGGACCATGATCATCATTCTTCCGCCCTCGTTGGACTTAGGTCGGGCATGTCCCGCTACAGGCGCATTTTGGACGAAAAATTAAAACATAGTCAAAAGATGCTCGAAAATTATCGAAAATAGTCCAGAAATCGTCCCCCGACTATTTTTTTGCTATTCTCGAATATTCCTCCTGTAGAGAGACGCACCCGACTCAACAGTTGGATCCGTTGAGGCCCTCGTGTTGGGAGCTGCCCAAAGGGCAGGCACCTGCCGGCGCAGCCTCGGCCGGGGGGAGGTCGGCATCGCAAGCCCACTGGGCTTTTGCGACTGCGTGCCTCCCCGAGAAAATGACTGGCCGAAAACGGAGCCCCGCGAGGGGCGGAGCCATGGGAAAGCCCAGCCAACCTGCACATGATCTGCGGGAACTCCACAGGAAGAAACCCGACGGTAGAAAATCCCAGGCTTCTCAACGCACACCTGGGGCCTCCGGAGCCTCGAAGTCCACACTCCGCGGCTTCCAAGATGCAAAAGACGCCATCTCAGCTTGCTCCAGCCAGGCTGCAACACTCTGAGGAGGGCTCCAGAACAACCAAGATGGCCTCACGACTGCCAAAGTTGCCTCCCAGACGCCCCAACAAGGCTCAAAGACAACCCCCAAGAGGGTACCAAGAGACAAAATCGTCCCAAGCCTTCAGGAACAACAAATAAAGATTCGTATTATTCGTTCTCATAGCGTCGAAAAAACTCCTGAGGCCCCAAAGATCGCCCTGAGACGGCCCAAGAAGCACCCAAGACGGCCCCAGGACGGTCCCAGAGTCGCCCAAGACGGCCCAAGACAGCTGCATCAGGGCCAGAAATCGGGCCCAAGAAGGGCAACTCGAACTGCGATTTCGAGCATTCCGTCCCTAGAGGACCCCAAGACGACCAGCAGGCGCCCAACAACCCCCCTAGAAGCCCCAAGGGACCTCCAGGAGGCCCCCAAAAAAAATACAAAAAGGATCCCCAAGAGAGCCGAGAAGGCCTCACCGATTGGACCAGGGGCTCGGCGGAGCGGCGTAACGCCTCTTGAATACACGTTTGGGGCGCCGCGCGGATTTCTTGAATCTGCGCTGCACCCCCCTCCCTGGCGCGCCAGAGAAGGGCCCTGCGCCGGTGCAAAAAATCCTCAAGCAGAGCGCCGAGCTCCGAGGGGGCATGCCTCGAAGACCTCCGCGAGTGCGTACTTGAATACTTTAGGGGGAAAACAAATCTACCTCGCTTTTGACCACCCTCGCTTCCAAGAGATACCAAACGATGCCAAATTGCAGCCTGTACTGGTCAGGCTGCTTGACGAGGAGACGCGTGGTATCACTTGGTTTTGCCTGGAAGCGAAAGCGGGGTAGGTAATTCACGCTCTGATAATTTGTTGCTCCTCGGTCCCACTCCGTGCGAGAACCAGCGGCTTCGGCGAACAGCACGACGGCTGCCTAAGGCAGGGAGCCGCTGCCACAGCACTGGCCACCGCGCTTGCCCATGCCGGGGCCCACAACGGGGGCAAGAGCCAGCGGAGGGAGAGCGCGCCAAGGAGCGCGCCGGCGCCATGGCGAAGGCCATCGCCGTGGCTTGCGCGATGATTCGTGGGAGGCTCGATGACCGAAGCTCCCATCATTGGCGCTGGCACGTGACGGTAAAAAGAAGCGGGTCGTACACGGGCAGTCGTAGCGACCTTACGCGGTGGCGTACGCGGGTCGGCAGCGCGGCGCGGTCCACTGGAAACGAGGGCGCGTACGCGTCATCCAACCCAGGAAGCTTACGCGCGAATGTGCGCGCAGTCGACGCCGTTTTTTCCGTCGCTCACACGGTGCCGAGGTCTACCAGGCGGAGATTGCGTTCCTCGAGCGCACCGCAGGAGGGTGCTTCCCGAGGCGGTGGAAGCAAGGGCCATATGACACAGAAGCAACGGTGGCTCGACGGGGGTGGGCGACGCGGAGGCATGCTGCTTCGTGCCTCCGCGTCGCTCGGAACATGGCGTTCGAGAGGTCAGAAGACGCCAGGACCAAATTCATGTTTCGATCACTGGTCCCGAACCGCCACGACTCCCCCAAGACTCTGCGGCCCAGCGGTGGACTCGGCCGAGCTCACCACGCAAGGGCTCGCTGGACTCGGCACAGGTGTCGGGATCAGGACCGACAGCTGGGCACGCGACGCCACGTCTAGAAGCCCCCCATATGGTGTCCGAGCATACGGGGTCGGAGGATCGCGCCGCATCGCCGGGCCTCGACGATGCATCGGCGATGCATCGCCAGCATCGGCGATGAGTCGGCGACGTCGGCGTGGAGACACTCGGAGTCCGCGTCGAGCCGCACTGACGATGCAGCGGCGATGCGGCGCGATCCTCCGACGCCACCTACTCCAGCCCCATCGGGAAGGCCTAGGGTTGTGGATGCCATGACAATGGACACTCTATCAATCCTACTATTGACTTAAAGCTGTGTATAAAATGTGTAAAAATATTCTAAAAACGTTTCAAACATGTCTTCAACACATTTAAAACATACTTGGAACATCTGTCAGACATCTGGAAATGATTTGGCAGCATGCTTCCTCTCCATTACCGCCTTCCACAAGCCTAGGGAGTCTCTCGCTTCCCCCCTCCGGGCGCGCCGCCGACCCCAGGCCTCGAAGCCCAAACGGAGCATCGTTGCCACTGCAGCGCGTGATTGCACATGGTTCGCAGATGCATGTGTGCAGGTACAATAAGGTTGTGGATGCCATGACAATGGACACTCTAACAATCCTACCATTGAGTTAAACATGTGTTACAAATGTCGGTTAGATATCCTGGAGATGTGTCAAACATGTATGTTTACACATTTTAAACATGTTTGAATCATCGTTTAGACATTTGGAAATGATTTGGCCGCATGCTTCCTCCCCATGGCTTCCACAACACTGGGGGCCCGACCACAAGAAACCTTCCACAAGAAAAATAACCCTGGAACCCCAGGACATCCACTGATATTTAGTATGGGGACGTCACGCTCTCCACGGCAAAACCATCGAAGCCCAAGACACCCAGGGCAACCTGGAAGCAAGCAGTGTGTTTCTTGGCATGGGTTTCCACTGCATGCATGAATGCATCATTGCGTGAGGGCGTTGCGAACCGTAGCCACCGCGGTTCGAACCCACAAGTCGCAAAACAAGCCCTAGAGCCAGGCGGAAAAAAACGCGCCATCACAGCTTGAAAACTTTTTGGCATCACCGTGCCCAGGCGATCCGTCACGGCGCGGAAGCTCAGCGGGGTAGCGCGGCGGCGACAGGCGAGCGCGCCCAGCCCCGGCCACAAGGGGGCCGCGCGGCGCCGCCCACCCCCCGCGCCGCCCCGCCGCCAGCCTCGCGCATGGACCCCGGTCGGGGACATGCATGGATTCGGTTGTCGACAAGGGGATCGACTACAGAATTGAACTACCCCAGGATTCACTTCTCGTCAACCTTGCGAGGCAGAAAACGAGAAACAAAAACACACAATAATATGACGCTCGCCGACCTACAGGGACTTGCGCGCACTAGTTTCGCCGATTCGGCGAGGAAACCAATGTGGAGGTAAAACGGCAAACAAATTCTCAAATCGATTCCCTAAATCGAAGCTCGTGTCGGGGATTCGGTTTTCTACAATGTACGGGGCCGGGGAGGCCAGGCGGACAGCGACGACAACGACGACGACGACGACGACGACGACGAGGCGGAGAACGAAGAGGACGACGACAACGGGGCGGAGAGACAACACCCCCATCTGCGGCTTGGGCCCTGCGCGCAGGTCAGCGGGAATCGGCGGTGATGAACTTGAGCCCGGGGCGTCTTCCCGCATGACTTGCTGGGGCCCCAAGAGTCGCCTCTCAGACGGTCCCAAGGCCTCGAGTCGCCGAGCGATTGGTCCAAGGCACGATGGCGGGATGGGCGCCGACCACTTCATGTTTCACCCTGCTCGCGGGTCGTTTATCGGGCGCGGCCTAACCGACCCCTAGCACACCGTCCCCCTTTCGTGACTTTCAACTTTTCCGGTTTCCCTCCAGCCGCATACACATGCGACTTAGGGGTGAGGCGAAGGGGGACGTCGCGGTAATTCCAGCCACGACAGCGTATATTCAAATTGCTGTGGCTAAAAAGTTCGTAGGTGTATTCTGCCGAGGGCGACTGGTCTGCCGTCTGGGTGAGTATCTGGCTCGGCCTGGGCATCTTCTTGGAGAACGCAGCTGCGCTTAACAGTGCGGCGATGTAGCCAGGATTGTTACTTTGAGCAAATCAAGGCCCCTCTGGTAGGCTTACGCCTTGAATACATCAGCATGGCAGAATCAGAGAGGACCTCAATTATATTCCTGTTGGTTTCT